TTTTACGTATGCACATTAAGTTGAAAATTCAGCGAAAAAATTTCAATTTGTAATTTGAACTTAAATCGTATTTCTAGAATGTAGAATTTCTGGAATGTAGTACAATACTCTGATTATTCACACTCTTGAAAGTTCAGGATACACTTGTATTAAGTTTATCCTTCGTAATTGAATGCAATATTTCTTGTTACACTTTAAAGTAACTAGCTTGCATTAAATTAAAGTTGTTTAATTGCAAAAAATAAGAATGATAAGAAACTTATATCATTTATATTAAAAATATAAAATAAAATAAAGCTTTAAAACATTTTATAATACATAAATAATTTTTTTAATTGAAGCTTCTTTTTTTCTTTTTTTTTAAGTTCATAATTTTTTTTTTACTCACCTAATGTCTTTAAAATTGCAATGGAAATTTTTGTATTTTGAATCTAAATTAGTAAGATGAATGACGTTGTCGTTTGAGAGTGCTACAGCAATAAGTATATCTTGTTCAATAGCCATTGGACAAACAGCATATCCGCAATAATCGATGTGCTCACCAATTAAATTAACTCTGCGAACAGATGATTAAAATAACCGCAATTACTCGAAATGGAAGTTTAACAACATTGAAAACATTGTTTTTTTATAAATTATTTACAATATATCTACAATAGATTTTATTTTATCTTGACTAATATAATATAAAAAATTAATCATTACTATAAATTATTGTTATATTAATTATAAGAATAAAAAATTACCTTCCCGGAACTCTTACAAAAAACAAAGGTTTGATATTGTACGTTGATTGAAAATGATCAGCTAAAATATCCAGTCTCTTTAAGAGTTTTTCATTTGGTTGTAAAATGGGAACTCGTTCTTCTGGATTTAGAGTGCATTTTTCATTATCTGGCATTCTTGAAACAAATTCATAAAAGATTTTCTCAATATAAGTCATATAATCAAACATTGTAATTGTTATGAAATATTTTATTTTTCAAAGAAAAAACTTTTAATTCTTTCATTCGGAAGTAAAAAACATAATCGAGAAGTTGAAAAACAAATTACCTGAATAACTATAAAAATATAGGAACAACAAAAACCGTAGTTAAATGAATATCACTGTAAATAATAAGACTGTCGTCTCGGCTCACAAATTTTACCTCAAATTCTAATTTGAAATTTAATATAACTTATAGTTTGAAATAATTAAATTAATTATAAATTTAAAAAAATCTATAAATATTATTTTCGTCAAAAATGATTGATAGAATATTGAAATGATATTTTATTATCTGACATTTACGTGTTTTTTTATGATGTTTTGTAAATTTATCATGAAATATATATACAATTAATAATGTATAATGTATACTCAAAAAATTTATTCGTCTTATAAAAATTTTGATTAATATGCTATAAATAATATTATTATGAAATAATTTTCCATTAAAATATTAAAACAAATTATTCAAATTATTTCATTTACCTAATTTCAACGTTTTCTTAATTGGATATGGTGTGGCACCAGCAATCGAAGAAATCTCGAAAGATACAGTTGCGAGAGCTCTAAGTGTTCGATACATTTGAACGTTCAATCGATAAATAACATATTACTACGCCGCAGTTAAATGATAAATTTAAAGCACATTATTAAGTCAATTTGCTTCGTATGTTTTGTATTATGTAACATTACAATATACATTTACATATCTATATTTTGTATCTATGAGAATAAAAATTAAAAGTTTCATAAAATTTTGATATTTCGTATAGGAATCAATGAATTATTGTCTTGATATATTTATCTTTTTAAACTAATTTGTATAATTATTATCTTTATATTTAGATAATTCTAAATGTATTCATTTGGATTATTTTTAATTAAAAGAAAATTGGTGAAATTTTTATTTAATAATTATTTGCAATTATTAACTAGATTGTCGAAATGAATCTTTTTAATTAATCTGTACTACCGATTTATCTTGTTTCTGAATTATAAGATGTTCATAATAGTTTCCATTTATTCTACGAAAGGCACCACTATACAGCGCGTTGATTGAAACATAAAACATTATAAAATAACGAATTATTCCATGCAAATATAGTATTATTATAATAATAACATAAAATATTATATATTAACTTAAAAAATGTCCAAAATATTTTTTTAATAATATATATAAAAAAAAATTCAGGAATAAATACATCTATAGATATTATGCTTATGTGTTTGTAAACAAGATAATACCGGCCGTTGTTGTATCAGCTTTTCATGCAATGATGAAAGTAGATGGCAAAGCATTCTTATACGAGAATTTCGGATGAAAAAACAGAAAATAACAAGGCAGACCTACCTGTTATTGTATTGATAAATTTTAGATTTCAAAATGGCGATATGTCACGTTATCGTAGATGTTTAACCATAAACGTAGCACAAATGAATAATTTATGTACGAAATAAACCACAAAATAACGTTAGTGTACACGTGTACTGGAACACTCGTGATTACTATACTTGCTATACATTTAAAACTTATAACCAGTTATGCTTTTATCCTATGATAAGAATTGGAGAAACTGATAATATGAAACTCATCATTCGTAGATAACACTGTAACGTATTTCATAGCTTCCCATCTGTTCATCATGATGAAATATAATAACACATGTGAATAAAATGCGTTTTATTTTAAACTTCTGAAGTAAGATTTAATTATTATAATTTATTAATCTTTTTTTCTCGAATTAAAAAAATTTATAATTGTTATATCATAATTGTTAGTCCCAATATTTGTGCACAATTTAAAACTATGAAATCATAAATAATATAATTTAGATGTCCGAACAACAATTATGGCAAAAGTAAGAACTCATGAGATAAACGGAATACTGTCGGTATACGAATCACATCGATAAACTTAAATAACAAGTTAAGAAATTTATTTACAAGTTAAGAAATTTAAAGATAATTTTAATTTAAAAACATAACAATCATAATGGACGCTATATAAGTTCAAAAATACAAATTTAAATAAATAATGTAAATATATATTTTGATTTTTTATTTTATTTCTCATACTTCAATTAATTTACTCATTGAAAGAATTGTAAATATTCAATTCAAATAATATATATAATATATATAAGAATATTTATGAAAGAATGTTAAAGAAATCATTTTTAAAATCTGTTAACTTTACCAACTTTTGTGATTAAATTATATGTAATTCTTGCAGTCACCGTTCTAAGTTGTAGAGGGCATGCCAAACAGTTTGATTTTTGCGCCATCGGTATTTCAGAACATGAAATATAAAATTCCATTAATGATACATTTTATAATATAATTATTTTATATTGTCGTCGTATACTTCAAAATATGGAAAAAATCTAATGTTATAAGAAATAATAATATAATAATATAAATATTTATCATATATTACATTTACATATTTCTGCCATAATATAATTCATCAATAAAAAAATATTCTATGACTATTAAATATATTACTCCTTAATCTTCATAGAGGGCATGTCAATCGTAGTGACATTGACATCACCGTCAGCCATTTTATGTAGTCTATGATCGAAGCATCATGAAATCGTGGAAGTCTGTGATAAAGGCAAATGGCCGCCGTAGTGTATAAGAGCGGGTTACGCATATGATGTTTTTCCGCGAACAGTTCCTGACGTACAATATGTAAAGACGCGTGAGTTGATCAGTTGATAAAAAGCGTGATGTGAACGACAAACGAAAAATTGAACGGTTTCCGTGGCCGGCGATGAACGGTGAAAATGCTAGTGCGGTGATGAAATCGGTGTCGGAGGGTGAGCTGGGCGTGGAAGAGGTTAAATTATCAGAATCGAAAATACAGGATTCTATCCCACGTTTGAAACGTACGTTTACTTTACCGAGGAATCCGTTTCAAAGTGCCAGCAGGATGTTAAGACGACGTCCGAACAAAATCGTGATTCAAAAGACAATAGCAGTGCAACGAGTACTAAAGACAGAAACAATATGCAGCAACATCAGCAGCAAGTGGAAAGCATACAACAAAATATGAGTCGATTACATGGCAGCCAAAGTTATCCAGAAAGGCCTGGTGTAAAAAAAGTGTTCCGTAGACCTTCCTGGAAAAAGTTTATCAACAAAATGGTCCAACACATGTCGAACGTGGGCACACAGAATCACAAAACTTCTCATAGGGACGATCTTAGCTCTAGTGCTGGAGACATAAGGGTACCTCCGCCTCGACCGGCACATATACCGCCTGATAGAGTGCCAGGGGTCATAGGTTTACGCAATCACGGTAACACGTGTTTTATGAACGCTGTATTGCAGTGCTTATCGCATACGGACATACTTGCAGAATATTTCGTGCTGGACCAATACAAGGTCGATTTATCCAGAAGAAATAAACTAAACTCTAAAAAATATGGAACAAAAGGAGAGATCACAGAACAGTTGGCTCTTTTATTAAAGGCTATCTGGAGTTGTCAATACGATCCAGAAATGAGCACAGCGTTCAAAAGCGTCGTCGACAAATACGGAAGTCAGTATCGCGGGAACTTGCAGCACGACGCTCAGGAATTCTTGTTATGGCTATTAGACAAAGTGCATGAAGACTTAAACCAAGCCACCAAAAAAAAATATAAAATCATAAAGGTAAGATATCATAAAATTTTTTAAGGTTATGAATAGTATCTTTTCGCGTGTTGCATATATTATTACACAATATATTTAATTATAATTATTAGTTAGCCATATTAATTCTAACTTTTTGGTTTTATTTTTTAACCATAAGATACATTTAAAAATTCATAAATGTTAAAAATATTTGTGACAGAAATATTTTTAAAATTTGCTTTTTTATATGATAAAAAAATATATTTATCCAGTTTTGAATGAATTTTATTTATTAATTAAAGAGTCAGTTGATCGTACAATTGTGATCAGGCCTTAACCTAAATTTATTTCACGTTCGAAAAGTAAATGTATGTGTATCTACGTGCCGCGCTTTCTGAACGGTTCTATCTAGGAATCCGGACAAATACGCGCGAAAGTTCCATTCCGGAAGAAATAAAGGGTAAATAGAAATCGTGCGTTTACTGTACAATACATATATTTTTTACATATTTTTAATAAGAAAAAAATAATATATTTATTCTAATTTAAATTTATGATTAAAATAAATTTTATTTTTATAATATTCATTATTATTATATATACTATGAATATTATTATATAGTTTTTTTTTAATTATTTGAATATTTTAAAACATTTGATTAATAAATATATGTATATATATTAAGAATCGAAAATTAGTAATTAAATTAATAAATAATTAGTAATTTTTCTATATTATATATATTTAATATCTCATTGATATTACATAAACACCAATTGATAAAAATTAATTTAATAATTTAATAAAATAACAAAATCTATTTAATAATATATATATATATATATATATATATATTTATCTACATATTATATCATCATTAGTTTTATTTTTATTTTTGATATGTTCGATAATAGCAAAATTATCATAATCTTATCAGAACCATTATTTTTATATATAACTATAATAATTATAGAATATAAAGAAAAAATTTTTTGAAAAAAATTTAATATTTTCTCTAAAATTAAAAATGATTTATATATGTTTAATAAACCGCGAACTTGACTACTGAATCACTTTTTATATTAATACAACATACAAAAAGATATAGAAATAGTAAAACAGAGAAAGAACAAATTTTAGTTCGCTGATTCACCGCAACGAGATGCCCGCCAACGATAAGTGACGTAACTAGAAAAAAGTGCGCATCATGTTTGCCAATTAATTGCTTCTTTTTCGTATTTTTTTTTTTTTCGATATTTATTTCATGGTCAGTTACTGATTTATGATTAATGACGTTTCTTTCAATGCTATTGTCTTCTGGTTACATGCAATGGATGCTGCATTTCTTTGTTGGCTAGTGTGATGACGATTACATGAACGATGAGGTAAGAGATAAAGAAAAATGACTTATGAATCATGCTGTTCATCGAACAAAAGGCGAACAAAAGGAATTGCTGATAGCATAAATGTGAAAGATAGAGAAAGTATAAACAAAAAATTATTTAAAAAATTTTTTGCAATTAACATAAGAGATAATTAATTTTAATAATTATTATATATTAATATATTAATATTTCTATATATAGAATTCAATTCTTTCGTAATAAAAAATAATTCTATAATTTTTACAATAAAATTCTTATGAATTTATTTTTATAGTATTCTTTATATTTTAAATTGATGTTTTAAAATATTATAGCCAAAACGATAGTAGATGAATATTAATAAGTAATTCTCAATTCTGTATTCTTTCAAATTTTTGTCATGTAAAATTATGTGCGTTTATTAATTTTATTGAATAGTTAGACATATTGCATTTTATATCGCGATTTTAGAAACGTTATTTAATGAACAATTATAATTATATGTCGTATAGAAAAACAATTATTCATGACAGAAAAGAAAATGTGAAATTCAATCGTTTCATTTCTAACTTATTTTAAAAAAAAATAATAGTAACTATAATGATTAATTAATTATTTAAATAGTTGAATTTTTCTTTGATATATGTACTTTTTTTATCTTGTTAAATTTTTATTATGATTTTTTTCAACTTTTTATGCATCCATCTTCGTTAGTTGAAATTTATTCATAATCGAGCATCTGCTTTTTTAGAGTTTCTTTTTTTTTATTTTATTTATTTTATTATATAATTTTTTCTTTTTTTCTTAAGAAAATAGAAATTGTTTGAAATATTTTATTCATTCGGATATACGAACTCATTTGATCCGTTATCTTATCAGGTCATTTCTTGCATACCATCTAAGTACTATTATTTGTCGAGTATCAGATAAGGAAACGATCTTCTGGGAGGCAACTTGATAATCCAGATCAAGAATTAATAATGTTCGACATGTTGCCCCTATGAATTTGTCAACTCGTTCGTGCTACTTTTTTGTAACTAGTTTTTTCCTCGAGTGCCCTTCATCAGTCACGTTGACCGACTTCTTTGAAACCGGTCATTGAAAAGCCTTGAAAATTCGAAGATGCTCTTTAGAAACATTAACACCTTCTTTTATAGAAAGTCGTCAGGCGCGTTTCGTACAAGTTTTTTTTATTACATATTCCACCATATATATTACGACTCGTTATTTACTAGTGAAATAGTTTTATCGATATATCAAGACTAAAAAGTTTTAAAACATCTCATCGAAAATATTATCATTGTGAAATAAATAATATATATCCAAATATTATCATGCTAATCAATTAGAACGTATAGAATAGAATAATAATAAAAAAAAAAACAATATTAATCGAAATATATTAAATATTAAATATATATAATATTAATCAAATATAATAAATATACTTTTGTATATAATATTTTAATTCGTATAAAACAATTGTATACGATACAATAATTCCAAATGAATCGATATCTTAAAAAGATCGAGAAGTTCGACATTTTTTCAAAATGCATAAAGCCACTCGAGCACGTGCTAAACGACAGTGCCACGATTTATTGACCTTGCGATAAGATCATTAGCTCTTGCTGTTTTAAAATTGGGATATATACATAAATCGAAATGATATACTATTCATTTTATTACTTATCATGTGTATCTAAAATCAAAATAATATTTCTGTTTAATTGTAATAGAAAAAGAATGAAAATTTTATTCGTATTTACATAAAAAATAAAAATTATTATACATGTAAATAAATCAGATTTGGATTTAGAATAAATTTATTAATTATCACAACTAAATGTCTTAGTTATAATTAATCATTTTATCTCAAATAAAATCAATAATCAAATAATTCGTTCGTGCTTCTATTACACAACTTTTAAAGATTTATCTATAAACATTTTTATCTGTTGTAACACAATTATTTTCACGCGACTTCTTGTGAACTGATTTCATAGTGTTTGTCTCTCAAGGCGTCCATGAGCAAATACCACGTGTCCTTAATCGATCATTTTATTATTCTCATTATCGATGCTTCTTTTATCGTCTGTACTTTGTTTCTTCCGCGAACCTTCAATTAAACATTCGTACGTGGCAGGACTAAATAGAATTTATCAGAATCAATGTTTTTCGTTTAGTTTTTTGTAAGTAAGTATATATATCAAACATTGATGAGAAAAGAAGGCGAGAAAATTATCGAAGAAGACAAAGATTTGAATGTAAAATACCATGACGTTTGATGAAAAACTACCTTCGAGACCTTGCAGCACGTGCAACGTGATGCGCGCTTTTATGTAGTAAAAAGGTCGTCTCGCTCTGGCAATCAAAATGAAAATCTAAAGGAAAATTTATGCGTCTTAAAGAAAAAATATGGAAATAAGTTATACTCTGATCTCAGTAATCATTCTTTCACTAGAATATTTGTGAATAGAGTTAAGATTTAATTTAGATAAATCAATTTCTAATTTCAATCTAGATAAAATTATTTTTGCTTATAAATATGGAATAGTTTATAGGAATATAATTAATAGAATAATTTATTTTTGACAGAAATTATATGATATATAAAAATAATCCAAATGTATATATAAAAAATTAAAGAATTAACAATTCAAATAACATTTTAACTTGTCGGTTCCAATTAAAAAATTAAGGTTCATTTATTAACATTGCTATTTCTTTCTTGTAAAAATTAGGGAAAAAATTGATTTGTTAATATAAAAATGATCATAAAATATAATTATACAAATAATAATATTTTCTTGAACAAAATTGATGCCAAATAGAATATTTAACAAAAATAGAAAAGAAGAAAAAATAATAAAAATATTGGAATTTTATAACGTAAATTTAAATATTTATTACCAAACAAGTGATTTACATCTGGCTTCCATTTGTTGATGATTCATAAATAATCCAATAATTTTACATTCTGAAAAATATATAATAAATATATAAGTATAATAAATAAAGTTTCCAAGATTTCAGTGTAAATCTAGCAAATATTTATCACTGCTTTATCGAAAAGATGAAAGATAATTATATAATTAGACAATTTTAATTTGGTGAGAGTTATTCGCATTTCTCTTAACACTACATTCTTGATAGCAATTTTCTTAATGAATTATTTTCTAAACAATAAAATTATTCAAATTTAATATAAATTAATTTTATACAATTTTATACAATTATTATCATAATTTTTTTATAAATTTTTTTTAATATTTATTCAATATGATTTAGATATTATTTTAATAAATTTATTTTAGTTTAAAATAATATATCATTGAATTGAACATTATGGAAAAAACTAAACTCGATGATAATACGTAATATCAGTTCTTAAGAAATGATCTTGAATGTGACCATGAACCAGTCATCGTTCTAGAATCATATTACAAGATTTAACATGATTTTTATTAATTCTTTTTTTTTGTAATTTTATTTATAGTTATTATTTATTTATATTTTATTTATAATTTATTTATAATTAATTATTATTTTTTAAATTTAATTATTTTTTTTTCTTATTTTTGGTCAAATATAATTTTTCATATTATATAACAATAAACATTATGATCGAAGTGATAAAATAATAAATATATAATTTTTTTAACAGATATTTCTTATAACATGTTAATTATGAAGATAAGAAAAAACATCAACAAGTTAATGATAAGTTCAAATTTTAAACTTAAAAAGATTATGTGATTGCAATTTGATGCAAATGTGATAGATAATTTTTGAAATTTGCCGATTAATTCGTACTTCTTTATCAATATAATTTTGAAAAAAATAATAGATTATTTAAATTCGAAAATTAATATCTCTCTCTAATTTTTGATAAAAATTTATTTATATTTTTTTCACTTTGTTATTGAGTATTTTAGTAATAGATGGAAGTTAAAAAATTAATAAAATTAAAATTTTTTCTCTTTAAATGAATTGTTTGTAAACAGTATACTATTTTATAATAGCTTCTGAAAATCTATTGCTAGGACAGAATAGACAGTAATTAGACATACTAAGCGTTTATATAAGCATAAACAAAATCACCTAAAGCTCTGATTTCTTAGTTGCGTTGTTAATCACGATATGCCGTTTCTATGACGTCCTTCGCGTAGTATTACACACATTGAATCATAACATCGAATTAATTACTACTTTTCTGCACGTCTAATTAGTTCTAATCATATTTGGATGGCCCTGATACAATCTTTAACTATTACCGAATTCAAATAACACCAGATTCGTAATGGAAAAAAAAAAAAACGAAAAAGTGAAATTCATTAAATAATAACAATCTCTTTCTTTCTTTAAAATTTAAATATTCTAAAAGATTAAAGATATGATTAATAAAACATTTCATTTGTCTTTATTTCAATTTAAGTTTAATAATTTTATGTTAAATAATATGTTAATCAATAATAATCTTTTTTATCATTGCAATACATAATATAGCTTACTGAAAAATACCAAAGGAGAAATTTAAGTACTTTCAAATTCCAACTACTGCATTATATTTCAATGCATTCCATGAACTGTCAGACTGAAAGAAGTTAATTATAACGGGTCGAGGGACGCTGATTGCTACTGTTACGTAAAGAATGTTTAGAGAAGCCACACTTCCTGTTTTTTGCTTTGTAGTTATAGGAAGTGAACTATCGATATTTGTCATAACATCAATAAGTTTTAATAAATCATTTTGTGAATCACTTTCTTTTTTAAAAAAAAAAAAAGTTATTAAAAATGAGAATAAATTAGATGTTATTTAAAATTATAAAATATGAAAATAGTATATATTATTAATATATACTAGTTTAGTTTAAATTTGAAATAAGAGGAAAAATATATTAATTTATTACTTGATATTCAAAAAGGTGGTGAAAAAAATGTTGAACCCGACAATTTTAATGAATTCTGTAAAGGTTACTGACCAGTTGATCAAACTTATCCAACCTTTACATTAGTACACGTGTACCAACATGACATTGACCAATTGTAAAGTTGTGAATTGTAGCGTGAGTCGTTACAACCTGTAAGCATCGAAAATTATTTCCGGCAACCGGATCGGCGATACATCCTATGAACAAACCGATAATTATTGTTTTTTTGTGGTTTTCACATGAAAAAAATTATTACTAATAGCAAATAATTTAATCTTATCTTTATCTGAAAAGAAAAGATTTATTTTTAATTTTTTCTAGAAAAAAAAATAATTTTATTAAATATTATTATTTTTAAATAATAAATAATATTTAAATATAAATGAATAAATGTAATAATGTAATCTTTTTTATATGGTTTTAAAATTTTTTTGATTTTTTATTTTCTTTCTTATTTTAAAAATTTTACAAAATTCTTGATAATATGTATTTTTAATTATTATTATTTTGATTATATGAAATATATATTTGAAAAAGTTGCAATTAGAAGGTCATAAAAACACAAGTTTTATCTATCCGATTAAGGGAAGCCTTCCATGCCGACTGAGCACGCTTTCTCGAGAATTTGCTGATCTGAAAGGGGACAGTAAAAAAGCACGTGAGGCTTACGGAATATTTCTGAATACTACTACTTTGAATCTAATATTCTAAATAATTAAATTATTATCTATAAAAATATTTAATTTAAAGTATTTTAGTAATTTTAGTAATATAAATTGTTAAAAATATATTTATATTTAAAATATATATGAATTTTATATATTGAATATAATATTTAAATAGAATATTGCATACGTATTATGTATACAAGAAAAAAATATTTTTTGTAAATTAGTATTGTTACTTAGAACATTGATCTAATTGCTAAAAAATAGTTCGATACGAACTTGTGAATTTTAACGAGTCATTGACAATTGTTTGATGTTAATTAAAATATCTCACTTGCTTTGCTCTTTCAATCATGTCTGTTACGAAATCAAAAAGTGCAACAGACGGCATAGACAGCAACAAACTACCGGTAGACAGTTATTATTAGAATAAACGTGTTATAAATAATCGTCTTTATGTATCTTGAGTGATAAATTGTTTGTACAAATGATGCATGTCTCGATTTTTCTCGTTAAAAAATAAATCCACAATTCTGTTACATATAAATAAATGTTAATAAATCATGAAACAACAGTAGTAATATATATTCTTTTCGTTAATATGAAAATATTTAAGAAATGGAAACTTTTAAATTTATGAAATAATAAAAGCTTACAAATAATTTATGTTTTATTTTTTCTTTTCGATATATTGATGAGTCAATGTAATTTATTTTTAAAAACAATAATTATCTTAAATAATTATTCACTTTTATATTAATTTAATAATTCTTCATTTGATTAAAAATTTCTTAATGATAAATATTTTTTATTATTTTTTAATATGTGATGATATTGAATTATAATATTATATTTGAATACAATTTTATGTTTTTTGATAAGTTTCTTTTATTAGTATTTTTCCATCATTTTTTAGCAAATTAATTCGTATGATATATTGTTTGTTTGGCTTCTTATCTTGTTTAACGTATCGATGACGTAAAGTAAAATATTCCTAAGGTTATTCCCTTGCTTAAATGCAGGTGTATACAAGGTGTACACGATTATTTGCATTTTAATAAAACATTACCAATATTCTTATGATGTTTGCGATAAAGATTTATTGTTTCGTTATTGCTTCTATATTTATTTGAATGGTTTCGATATCTTCATGCCAATTCTTTTATGATTACGAACCAAGTTTGTTAATAATACAATAAATGATTTAATAATAATTGATAATTAAATATAAAATATGGTAAATTATTATTAAATTTTCAAAAAAGAATTTTTTGAAAAGTAAAGATTAGTAATTGGAATAAATAAAATTTTAAATTTTAATGAAATATTTTATTATATAACATATTAACAAAAATGTCGTTAATCGATATTAGAATATACATAATTAATTATTAAATATAGAACAAAATAATATCTCACAGATTAGAAAGTTTCTCCATTTTCTCTTAGAAAATGTCGATTTACTTTCAATTAAATTAGAATATTATTTATAATATGATATAAAATACAATAAAAATATTAATGAAGTAGTATTGCGTATCATAAATGCATTTATTTATTAAATGTTTTTATTTTATTTACAGAATTCCTTCGGCAGGCCGGATGATATTGTCGCGGCAGAAACTTTGGCGAATCATGTCCGTTGTAACAACTCGTTTGTGCATGCAGTGTTCCAAGCTCAATTTCGGTCTAGTTTGACTTGTCCAAGATGTCACCGGCAATCTAATACGTTCGATCCTTCCTTTGTGTGTCAGTACCTGTCCCGCAAAATCATCGACAGATGAATCTTTTTGTGAATGTTCTTTATACGTCACAACAACCGCGGCAAGTAAAAATCGGTGTAAGTGTAAACCAGATGGCCAATGTGAGAGAACTGAGAGAAATTTTGGCCAGTGATACTGGTATCGATGAGAATCATATGTTACTCACGGAAGTTCATGACGAAGGATTTCATAGGTAAATTATTATTTTCGATTTATTCTTCCGCAGATTATGTTAAATAAATGAATGTTATTTTAGTTTTGAAATACGTTTTTTATTGTTGTTTATTACTTACAGAACTTTCTCTGATTGCCAACCTTTATCTGTGATTACGGAAAACGATCCGCTTTATTGTATAGAACTGCCACAGCTGAAGGAACCTACAGAGCAAGCGTATATTCTACTTGTATGGATTAACATTCTTATGAAAGGAGATTTAAAGCAACGTTTTGGTAGTCCATATACTATGCAAGTATCTAGAGAAACATCATATGAAGATCTACAAAAACTTTTATTAAAAGAGATGCATAGTGTTCTGGCTGATGATGTGCTTACGTCGAGTCAGAGTCCTGGACTGTTTAACATTCGAGTAGCGGATCCTGCAGCTACACCTATTCAAGATGAACATCCGTGTATAGATCCTTGTGTAGAACATCCCCTTTACACAGAGCAAATTGAACAAGCATTGGCTCTCTGTGCCGATGATTCTGGTCCTCAGCATGTAAAATTAATTCTTGAATGGGATGAAGCCACTAAGTGTAATATCATTCAAGATGATAGTGATCAAATCGAAGAACATGCCAGTGTAAAACAATTGAAAACAAATTCTGAACTGGGGGGAGCTGTTACTTTAGAAGAATGTTTTGATTTATATACAAGAGCCGAAATATTAGGGGCGGAGGACGCGTGGCACTGTCCATATTGTAATAAGAAACAAGAAGTTGTGAAGAAATTGGGTCTTTGGTCTTTACCTGATATCTTAGTTATTCATTTAAAAAGATTTCGACAACAGTCTAAACAAAGATCTACATCTAAATTGACCATGTTAGTCGATTTTCCTTTGTATGGTTTCGATATGACTCCCCATCTTGCTCATAATGGAGTTCAAACGCATAATAACGTGAGTAGTTTAGGTGGTCTAGGCTGGTCACCTTGGAAAAAACCTAGACCTCGTCAACAAAATATCCCAAAATATGATGAAAACGTTTACGATCTTTATGCAATTTGTAACCATCATGGACAAGATTTACAGGGAGGTCATTATACCGCATTTTGCCGAAACCCATATGATACTCAATGGTATTGTTTTGACGATACCCGAGTAGAAGCCGTGAATGATACTAATTTAATAACAAATGCTGCATATATGTTGTTTTATCAACGTAGAGGGTTAACTAATAATTCTGGTAATTCTTCAGCAGCATCTACAAGTTCTGCCGGGTCTGGACTTGATCATTGGGTTTCAAAAATGCCACCATTTTATTTTAACAATAAGACTAATAACAATGTTTCAAATAACAATCAAAGCAAATCACAGGAAGTGTTGTGTCAAGATAAAATCGTAGAAGAAAAGAATATAACGAATTTTAATAGAGGATGTCGTAATTATGCTACTTTGCAACCGAAGAAAAGAAATGTTGCGACAGAAACGGATATTAGCCAGATCGATCACTATTCAGACGATGAAGCACCTTGCAGAAGAGAATGGGTAAGTTCATATTATCGATATATATAATTTTAATTGTAGGCGATTTACAAATATTATTTTATATTTTAATTTTATAATTTATAATATATTTTTTAGGCTTCACCAAAACCTGTTCGAAAAATGTCGTCCATTACGTTAATACCGCAATCTACGATAATTCATAGTGCCAGTAGTGATCCAGACACAACAATAATACACGAATCGACGTTGTAACACACAATTTAAGCCAGATTAGATCTGGCTCGAGCAACGCTCAATGTATAGTGCCTGGAATGGTGTGTGAAAGATCAGAAATAAATTAGAAATAAAGAGTAAAAATAAATACAAGAGTATATAAAAACTTTTCGCGGAATTTAAGTCCATTCATTTTTTATCAAAGACTTAATGTAGTCTATTTAGAAACAAATATGAAAATCTTTCACTTTGAATTTATACATATAAAAAAGCTTTTCTTTTATATTAAGCATCGACCAGACAAAGAATATCTAGAGTCTCTCTACTTTCTTTGTTTTGATATTGAAAAAAGGAAAAATAGGAAGTTACAACATTAGATGAATATTTTCTGAGAATGTAAGTGAAACTCGAGGCATTAGTGATTTTTGTATTTATATTGTATTTACAAATTGCGTGAATTGTATTGTACATTCTAGTTGTTAGAAAACTTTTTAAGAAAAGGACAAATATTCAGTATCAAAAAGTATGAATCCCTTATTTACAAGCTGTCTATTGTTAATACTTAGATTTTTTTCAATGCAATAGGTAACTAATATTTTACATATGTCCAACAAGAATGTACATGTGTCAAAGAAACTTTGTACGCGACTTTTTTCTCGAATTTGCGGATCGAATGTCGCATGTGTCGTGTTGCAATGAAACTATGACAATAACTGAATCTTATTTAGCAGGATTCATGTATTACAATGACTTTGTTTTCAATAATAATTCTTGTTTGGACATATTATATAGTTGCTAATCATTGCTTTGGATTTATGCTTAATTATAATATTTATATCATATTTGTATCACCTACTAGTGGCCTTATCTCAGTAATTAATATTAATATGTCATTTGCAATCATACAAGCATAGTTACTATTTTGACAGCGTTTTATTACCAAACATTGACATTGTATCGTGAAAGCCACCAAATTGTAACATATATATCAATAATTCTTTGGATTCTAATGAATCGACGACCAAAAAAATCAATATACTTCCACTTAAAAGTCTCGTTCTTCCTCTAATAATCGGCGTAATTAAATTTTATCATTCGAAAAAGATAGTGTGTCGGTTCTTAATAGAGTGGCTTTCCTAATATATCCTTCAGCGATGTATTCTTTTTTTGTATTTTAATCTCAAATACTCTAATCTCTCAGTTGTAACGAGCATTCCACTTATTGTTAGATTTGTTTATAAATAGAAGATGATGAAAAACAGAAGCATGAAAGTGAAACAAATTTATATATATTCATATACACGTAGGTGTATAATTTGTGAGTGAAAGATATTTAAGTTATTTTAAAAGTAACATTTATTACTAGTCATATGTATCGTGGACGGGATGTGGCGATTAAAGAGTGTATGTGACGAATTGTAACGCAATTAATACTGAATTCATCATAAATTATATAAAAGAATATGTTTGATTGAAATAAAAAAACGTAAGGTATAGCTTGATATACATATTTTAAAGGCGTTTACACGTAAATTGGTTCCTGTGACAAGATTAGACAAGTGCCATGATGGTCTTAGAGATATAATACTCAATAAAAATTCAAATATTTTTATACTCGGTTTAATAACGATTGTTCTTTTCAAATCTAGCAATTGAAAACTTAAATGTCTTAAAAATTAATAATTAATAAACTATATGTAAATAATTATAGTAAAAAAATGCGATATTTCTATAAATATTCCAATTACTGGATTTGAAAACAGATATTACATTAAATGACCGAGTATTATTCAGTTCAAGATAAGAAGTTCCCTTCGTGGCATTTAATAAACTGCATGATAGAATGAATGTGTAGAATGTGTGATAAACAGAAATAAAGGAAAGCCACTACCCGTTTATTATTCTATGATTTTAGAATTTTGTGCATTCACGTTAATCGACTGAGGGATACGTTATTAATTATATTATCGCTGTTTTTATTGAAATAAATTAGGAAATGTATATATGAATGAAAAAAACATCATTCCACTTTGTGCACGCTGAATTATGTCAGCTTTGATCTATAATTCTAAATACTTCGCGTTTTTTGAAGTAACTGTTGATGCTTGTTATGTTTATAGACAAATTAATTGCCACGCTTTTTATAATTTTTCAAGAGCACGCGTGGGAAATTCCCCTGCATCAATTCAGAAATTTCAATGTGGAAAGAAAGTATCGACCAATTGTATACTAGTCTAATATATTTTATTGTAGTCTGCGAAATATATAATAATTTGTTGCGTATTGAAGAAATTTGTGAAAAGATAAATATCAATTATGTCGAATTTTATTTTAATTATATCAGTTTATGAATAATAGAGTATAGATCAAATAGATAAAAAAGCAAATTTGAATTCAAAATGAAATATTGTATAATACTATTATTCAAGTCTAATGTAAAAAGTTTATAAATAATTAGGGATAAAATAAATCTTAATATACAGAGATTTGTCAATAAAAGTAATATTCATACATAAAATAAAATATTTGGAATATAGTAATTTAAAGAAAAATTATGTATTTGACTATTATTTACATTAAAATTCGATTATAAAATATGCGTTCATTTTAAAAATATACCCCAACTTTTTTGTTATTTAATAAAAATTTATTTATTTTGTTAGTATTTATTTTATTATATTTGAGAAATATATAGTAAAATTATTTGTTTTTAATTTAGTAATAAATAAGTTATAAAAAATTATATGAAACTATATAATTTATATAAAAAATATTATATAATAAATATATAAATAATTTAATAATATATTAAAAATTTAATATTCAGTATTTAATTTGAATTTTATATTTTCGCGCCATTCAGTATAATGGAGCATATATAACTGTTAATAAATATAATCTGTTTCTTTAATATAAATATATATCTTAAAATTTATTTCATTAATTAATTCTATCGATATTAGAAACTTAAAAATATTTAAATAGTATATGCAGCATTTATATAAAATATAGCACATTCTAAATATTTATTGTATATTTTATATAAAATACAACAAATTTATAAGCATGAACTATGAAATATATTGCTATTCATAATATGTATATCGAAATTCATAATATATCGCTTACAAAGTAGGCCAGAAAGATTCAAGTAGTTTCAATATTGCACGGTCTGCTCAAATAAATCGTTTCAATTTGGTGGATTATCACGAAATTTTTCTTATTCGATATATATTGTATGATTAGAGGCTTGAATTACGAATAACGAATAATGTCATCATACATTTAATCGAAGAATATACCGAGCATCAAGAGTCTTCTCTCGATATTTATTTCGAACGAAATAATTCGTTGAAGCGAACTGTACCTAAGTACATCTTACGAGAAAGATGAAATTGTGTGGTAGTACGTTGGGATTGGTCGTGGCGCCACCCCACTCCGTGAAGGCTTTCAGTCGAGCTCGGACCTTCGTCGGGTGTGGAGTGTGTGTTGCATTGTCGTGTGTTAGTGTTCAGATTATTCACTGAAAATTAAGGTAAGAGAATTTTTTTACATAATACATAACTAAATACGTAATAATAGAAATATATCGTTTCAATTGTTTAACAATTACAATTATAACACAAAGCCGGTGAATCGTTGCGCAAAAACTATTCTTGTCCTCGTTATTAGTCGATGTTGCATGGAAACAGTATCGTGTACGACGGAGTTTCAATGATTTGTTACTTATGTTCAAAATATATACAAAGTTTAAGTAACCATCGGCATTCTAACGAAAGCAACAACAAGAGACAGCGCCTCTCCCACGAGATAAGAGGGATAGAGAGAATGTGGTGGCGCTCAGAGTCGTCTTCGTGTGTACTCTCGGGATCGATACACAGTACACACTTGGCGCGACGTTCGTGTAAGGTTACGGTTTGTACGGGATCGCATGCGGGTGTGTATGCTTCTTTCCATGCTTGTCTCCTGTGACGTCGTTGTGTTACGTGTCTGCGTGCATGCTCTCTATAAGCAAGGGTGGATTTTCGGTGTAGCTACAGAAAAATTCAAAGAAATTGAGAAGGACGCGTCAGACTATGCGGGTACCTCATGAAACGCACCCTCTCTCAAGGCGAGCGCGCCGGCAACCGTTGCTGAAAAGAAACGTGTGAGAATGACAAGTAAGTGCAATAAAGATATTCAAAAGGGGAGATTCGCTGTCTGGTATACCGCGAATTATAATAATGAGACTTGTCACATTGTCACATTGTCATATTGTCTTGTTTCTATGAATATATTATATAAAAAATTACTTATTGTTTTATGTTCATTTTATATTAAAAAGTAAAATTTAACTATCTCTATGGGGAAAAAATATTCATATTTTATATAACAATGTGATAATAATGACGCAGCGATATTATTTTCATGTTATATTTCTAATATTCCTAAAATCAACAGCAATATGTTCTTTCTTTTTTTTATTACATTAGTTTTATTACATTAGTCTTAGATTAGATAGACAAAGGTTAAAGGTGTTAGAGGTTAGAAACGTAGCTAACTGTTAATCACTCTATCCGTTATTTTCATATTGACGAATCTGATCTATGCATATTTTTGAAAATTGGTAGAGTTAGTCAATAAAATAGTCTTAATATATTCGATCGATGTGGGAATCGAAAAACCACAACGCGTACGATAATCTATCATTAGAATAAATTTCACTCTCCGAGTGACTTTTTACATAATGAGAAATTGTAATATCTTAACCTATTTATTGGTTCGACAAACAATCATATTTTAGCGAACTATATCACATTACGATACATTTCTTGACATAATATTTTCATGTATTATTTCTCACTCTTTTTTTTTTCAATTGAACATAAGTAGTATTCCCTGCATTTTAATCTTGTTAATTTTTTCTATAGTAGAAATTTTATTGTAGAAAATTGATTAAATGTTTTATTTATTTAGATTTCTTTTGAACATATATGTTACGTGTTTATATATATTGAAAGTTTTCTTAAGACAATACATTCGAAAATAATCTGATCTAAGAAATTGTTATATTTATTGTTTACGTCATTTATTTCTATTATTTTTAACGCTTTAGATTGCCCTTAATGAGTCTATAATGAGTACATATATAAATAATATTTTGATCGCAAACTTTTCTTTGTTTCAAAGAATCGGATGTTTAATAAGAAAAGTAAGAGTGAAATAAAAACACAAATAAAAAAGACAAATCGATATTATCTATTGTTTTTATTGAATAAGGAACGAAGCACGAAATATCTAATATTTCAATGATCATAGCTCTCATATGAAATTTTATATTCCTTTATATAATACAAAATAGTTTTTTCAAACAAAAATTTGAAAAAAAAAGAGAACAGGTAGAAGGTAAAAGAGAACTTAATTTGTATAGTTGTGTATATTGCAGTAATATACTGGTATTTCGAATTGAGTTTTTTGAATTTCTGATTTTACAATAATTTAAAAATCAATATTAACTTATAGAAAATTTACACATATATTCGCGTATTCGTTCATACGTAATATTAAATTATCTGTTTGTTTTTATTTGACGTAAAAGCTCTCTTTATCGAGATGTTCTAAATCAATAACCAACTGCAAGTGGTGTCAATTTCAATGAAACTAGAACGCGACGATATTATTATTTTAATAAACGGCACGCGAAAAATTATTTATTATACGAAGAGTTCAAACTTATCGAACTATGTTTTGAAGAAAACCTATATTTTCGATCGAAATATAATTTTTTTGCGTTCATCATGAACACATTTATCACAGATAGGAATGGACGTGTGTTAGTAATATCAATTCGTTAAATCACGACAAAGATAATTAACCGATTAAGTAACGAACAAAATAGTTTGTTATCTATCGCTTAAATTACAGATAGCCAGTTAAATACACCCATGACCGATTCATTTTGATCATTTAACGGTTCGAGATAATTATCTGCCATTTGATAGCTTATTTAGTTTCAACGATAATTAATGCTTTAAATTTTCCTAGCTAATATAAATGATATAATAGGTTTATTCTTTAATAAGAATCTTGTTAATATAATGTCAAATATAAATCTATGCGTTATCTTATGAATATTTATACTGTGTATTTAATTCAGTAATAATGTTTGTTAATTTATAAATTTAACAACATTAATGCTAGGAAATACGCAATTTTCGCTATTTTCTAATAGCAAATTGATATAATCTTCAATCATTTATTAAGTTGAACGAATGCTACGAGCTAAAAAGTTTAATGAACGAGAAAAGAAAAACAATTAGTTTAAACTTGGACGCGTCACTAACTCGGAATAATTGGACCAATCGATAGTTACTACCCTTAGTTCACCCTTCGCTTCTAATGAACTCAAATCACGTGCAAAATCGTCATCGTGTACACTCAACTCGTAGTTACGTATCATTACACTTGATTTATAATCTATATTCATCTATACTTAAAATTTACTATATCTCTTATCATTATCCCATTACGGGTTACATCATTTTGTACACTTTTAAAATTCAATAAAAAATTACACGAATAATGATTATAGTTTTTAGCTTGCTTATACAAATACAAAATAAAAATTAGGATAAATACATTACTTACATACGAGTACAATAATATACGAAATAACAAATAATAATAATAAACAAATAATTGTCAAAAATATGTCCAACCAGAGATTTTGAACGTTAAAATATAGCGATTGAGTCAAATCCTTGACCCTCGTACACCAACACACTTTCTCTAGTAACTTAATGCAACACCATCTTCGTAACGCAACTTGTTCTTCCGGTAACTATCGTAGGTCAACCGGATACAATCGATACGTGGTAACCATAATTATCACCATTCGATTAATTACAACTCGAAATCGTAAACACATCCAATCAACAAAAGGATCTCGAAAAGAATCGGAAAAAATAATTTTGTTGAAGAGAAACGCTTTATTTAATTATAAATTGCCGATTGATCGTGAAAGGGTCTGTCGTGCTTT